GATGAAGCCCCGAGATATTTTTTACACCGGAAAATATTCAAGAATAAAATCGCGATCGCACTGCAATTCATTGTTATCTCTTTCACAGATTACGCGTTCATACGAGAGCCAATCGACGTCGACGTCGATAAATTAGGTCCAGTTTCAATGCGAGTGATAAATAAAGGCGGACAATTCACGTTGACCGCGATGTAACGTCCGTATCACATTGGTTACTACATCTGCATTCGAATCTACGTCTACGATTGTCTGTTGACCGATCAGGAAGGAATTACTGAATTACTGGATTGTTGAAGAGACAATTATAAACGCGAACGAAGATGCAGTCGTCAATCAGTATGACGCGAGCACAACGCGGGCTGTTCGCTATTATTTGTAATCTACCTTACTTCTCAATTCACTCACCATTTTCCACAGCCGGGATTAGCCGGCACAAACGAGATTAATTGTAATTGTCCGTTGGCGGTGTTTACACAGTCCCTCGGGAGAGGTTTCCTTTTCCATTCTTCGAGTCTTTCGCAGCGATGCGATTAAGCGGGTAAAAATTGCCGAAATTGCTCAATTTCACGAGCATCCGGCAATACTTTTCTCGACGAAACGACGCAATTTGCCCTCTCTCTCGCGCGAAACAGATTGGATAGAGCAAGGACACGAGTAATGACTAGACCACTGATCTCTACATGTAACTAGATATGCCATAGATCATAGACAAAGAAGAGAAACGAGTCGAAAAGCAAGTATTCATAATCGGATCTTGTATTTAAAATCGTTTTGAATTCATTTTCACTGATTGTCTCTCATTGATTAAGGTGACCAGACGTCTCGATTTTTCATCCTTTGTCCCGAATTTTTTCGAGTGCTATTCGGGACACCGATTTGTCATCATTTTCAATGATTGTCAAATAATTGTCGGATCTTTTTATCCCCCTTCCCCCGCCCCCCGCTTCATACATTTATGAAGTGTCCCGAATTCAGGGGTGAGAAAACTGGTCACCTTACTACAGAGCATCAGAGCATAATCTCAAGACGAATTTAAATGTGTAAGATGAACATCGCCTCAGAAACGCCGTTACGTGTGTGTAGCATTTGCAAGCGAAAAGTGTAGCTTAGCTGCGCTCAAGTAAGCAAGTGTGCACTGAAGTGCGGGTAAGCTACACTTCCGCGGCATCTGCACGTTTGCACTTAAGCGTAGCCAGACTACACTTTTCACATCTTTCACATTTCGGCATCTGCGACTTTGCAGAATTTGTCTCCCAAAAGTTATAATTGTATGTAGAAACTATTTTTTATTTTCTGTAACAACATCATCCAATACATTCATACATATATATATATATATATATATATATATATTATATATATATTCGAATACATATATCACAACCGCGTTTCAACGTCTTTCCAATCAAGTGTTGCTATAGTTGATGACCTTCCCGGATACTACATAAGCGTATAATGGCTTTCGCGGCGTGCACACAGTTTCGTCAGTAATGTAATTCTTTCACAACGCGCGAACAATCTGCGCAGACGGTGGAGAACCAACAATTCGAACCGAATCCGCAGCGAATTTCTTCCGATTCTTTCTCCAAGTAAGTGATCGATTATGACGCGTGCAGCGGCTCGCGAAGGATACTTTAACGAGGTAGACGAAACGAACTGTACCATGAGACGAGGAACGTTGCAAATGCTATTGTTTTGAAATGCCGGCTTGCACTCTTCTTGTCGACAGAAGATTACGGCACATACAAACCTTTGCGGAATCCCATGTACGTATACGCATAACAGATGACACGTATAGTTACTAAAGCGTCGTTGTCGCCGGAAGATATCGTGAATTATCCGCTCGCCGGGGACTCTACGGGTTCCACCCGGGGAAGATTCTGTCCGGCGGAAAATCCCCTGTAATCTTGCTTATCGCGCATGCACATTTGATATCGTGCGCGCACGATATATTAGCATGAGTTAACAGCGAAATAAATAAAGAATAAAATAAAGCGAAATAAAATAAAGAACGCAATCGCGCATTGAATTGCTGCAAATTGTCGTTCCGCATTTCATATCCCCTTAGATCCTCTTTGAATCAACAAAATCGCTTCTCTCTTTCTCGGTAAAAAAAATAACTTGCTGAAAAATCGAAATGCACAGTAGACGCAAATGAAATTTTATTTATTATTGTCGTTAAAATATATCAAAGAGCATGAATGTATTGAGAGAAAAATATCTAAAAATAAAGAAAAAAAAATATATATACAGGGTGTTGAAAAAAAAGGGTCACATATTTTGATAGCAGGTAGTATTGATCAAAAGAAGAAAAAAAGTTCTAATTAACATGGGTCCTAAGACTAATATCTTCTAAGATACAAGCTATTTATTTGAGCTCTTTGTCATTTTCTTATTAGTCGTGTCATCTTTAGAATGTAATGAACAAAGGAATAGGGAAGAGTGGGGTACAATGGGGATATCTTTTTTCTAGGTGCCTTAAAAAATAAAAAATTAAACACTCTTTTGTTTACTAGGGCTGCTCACATTCGTTAAGGCCTACGCAATGTCGTTTGACTTGTAGTATCTATTGCGAACTAAACGTAAATATCAGGAGAGAGAAATGAAGTTAGTTAGAGTGCGTGATTTGAAAGAGTGCGTGATTCTCTAAGACGTAGGGCTGAAACATGCGTGAGAGTGAATGGCAATCACATACAGCACCTCCTCTAATGCTGAGTCAACATTAAAATTTTTTGTTTTTTGTAAAAAAAGAGATTTTATTTTGTTATCATACATTCAGTTTCTTTACTTCAGTTTTTTTTTATAGAAGATTGAAATATTATAAATGATTACATTTCATATTAAAATAAATATTGTTTCTTTATCTCTTTTTGTTAATTTTTTTATTTTTTTAAGGCACCTAGAAAAAAGATATCCCCATTGTACCCCACTCTCCCTTACTCCTTTGTTCATTACATTCTAAAGATGACATGACTAATAAGAAAATGACAAAGAGCTCAAATAACAAAATAGCTTGTATCTTAGAAGATATTAGTCTTAGGACCCATGTTAATTAGAACTTTTCTTCTTCTTTTGATCAATACTACCAGCTATCAAAATATGTGACCCTTTTTTTTCAATATCCTGTATATATATATATATATATATATATATATATATATATATATATATATATATATATAT